CAGACCTCAAACCAAAACCATTCTCACAAATGATGCTTATTTTGTATCTCCGTATTCAGTTTATTTCCTGAAATGGCTTAGTGTTTGTGTGAAGGTCATTCGGTGAACGCTGAACAAACAACGCATGAATAAAGTGGTGATATTTGAAATATTGGCGTTTAAAAGAATCTTAATATCAAAAGACGCTTGAAGGCTAAAATACCTATTCAGGAAGTACTCCCAAAGCTGAACAATCAAACTAAAGTGAAATATATCATTGATAATTAAAACGGGAAACCTGTAGCATCTGGGATGTTTTACACGTGGAGATAAAGATCAATTCTACCATCGATACTGATTGTACGTAGAAATATACAGATTATACAAAAATTAATAAACTTATAATTATGAAATGTGGGATATGAAATGTTCTGCATTTTTACGAGGATATTTCAATTTTCTATCGTCACTATCTTGTATTCTTTAAAAAACAACGGTTTGAGTAATATTAGAGAAAAGCTTATTTATACCATGCGGACTTTTAAAAAGTCTATTTATATCATAAAAAGTAAGTTACGTACAATATGGCAAATTTATCAGAACAATAACTAATTCAAGTACCAATATTAGTTGGATATGTTGATTGGACACGTGCCTATATCGATGTAAGTAGTCTTTTAAATTATTTAAACCCTCAATTCCTTTCTATAAGTACATATATCAACAGTGTCGACAATAATGAAGACATTAGAAGAAGGAAAATGCTAAAATTTCTACAGGTAAAATGGAAAAAAAAACGTGTAATTTGCAGAAAGTCTGTGTAATCCAAAAAGTCTGGTACACCAAAAATTGCAACTACTGCAATTAAACAGTCAGGAGAATGCTAAAATTTCTACAGGTAAAATGACAAAAAAACGTGTAATTTGCAGAAAGTCTGTATAATCCATTTTGCATAAAAATAACGTTCACCCTTAAAATATTTAAACTCACCAAGTATTATATGAGTGATCGACGATTATAATTTTGTGAAAATTAGTGGTCGGTAAGATTACCTCACTTGACTTGATTTTTTTGAGGTTACCTGAAAAACTGCGTTTTTATTATAAGACCAATTAACTTAAATGATTTAAACGATACCATAAGATTGATCAGTTTATAATAGGGAGTTTATAGGTACGTTTCAGATCACCATTCCAACTAATATTAGTACTTGAATTCGTTCTTTTTCTGGTAAATTTACCATTGTACTTAATTTCATAGTGTGAATGATATAAGTATGTTGTTGTTGATTATCGCCATTCCTACGGATAGTGAACTAAATTACTAAGAACTTAACTTAGAGAACGGATACACTATGTGACTCGAAGGCACCGTTGTTGTCCTGGTATATTATTGGCGGAGTCATTCATAGAAGTGAGAAAGACCTACCAAAAGAACAGGAAAGAGAATAATTCTTCAAAAAAAGATGGTCACTGTTTTTAAATATTTGAATCCCAAAAAACAGACATGGATATTCATATAACAAAGAGAAAAGTGCAAATATCGTAAAACAATGCACTATATCAAAAATATATTTAATTTATAAAGTGTGTCCACACAAAAAGTCTTTAATTAACGCATACAAAAACATGAAAACGGTCTTAACTCTCCTAAGTTCTCTTTGGAAATGATTACCTGTGTTAAAAATAAAAAACCTGCAAACAAACGAGAAAATTGTTTAGTGATTTAGTTTGGTTTAAATTGTAAAAAAACACAAAATGTATTGTTCAGTTCACATTTTGCAACATGGAAAATTAAAATAATTGAGAAAGTTGGTTGTTTCTATACACACAAAAAATTGCCTGGGCATAGGACCGTCCCCGAATTTTGACTGAAATATTCAGAACTCTTGGTTGGCCAATAACGGTATTCTTTGAAGGCGACTATTTAAAATATTTATGAACACATCGTAACTGGATTTTTGCGTCATTATGACAATATCTTTAAAATAGATTATTTAGAATACTTGCTAACAAATCGTACCGGTATTTTATAGTAATATCAAAGCAGATAATGCTGGTAGTTGAGCGACCCGGTGTGGTAAAAAATATAACGGAAATTTTAACCACAGCATAAAATGATTTCTTAAGAAATAATTAGCAAAAATAAACTTATGTACTGAGTATTACACAAAATTTAGTAAAATAAATTAAATTTAGACAATGTAAAGCTACGGTTTATTAGAACATTGCACAGCAGAATCTGCTGTACTCGACTCACGGCAGTTTTGGGTGTTAGATTATTTCGCATAAACATTCTGTCGCTCTGAAAACTAATATTTAATAAATAATCTTTATACAAATTAAAAAGTCTTGAGATTTGACATTTCAACTTTTGTTTGGAAAGTAATGACAGATGTGACGTCACACTCCGGCTGTTCATTATAATTTCGGTATAGATGTGTACGCTGTCAGCTCAGCTGAACGTTTCTTCTTCTTCTTAAAGTGCCCTCTCCTCAATGGAGGTTGGCTACTACAATTTTAAACTCTTCTCTATCTTCAGCTGTTCTTATTAGCTGTTCAAAATTTAGTCCTGTCCATTGTCGGATGTTTCTGAGCCACGATAGTCTTTTCCTTCCTAGGCCTCTCTTTCCCTCGATTTTTCCTTTCACTATAAGTTGGGCATATTGGTACTTATTATTTCTCAGTATGTGGCCTAGGTATGATGTTTTTCTAACTTTTACTGTGTTAAAAAGTTCTCTTTCCTTGCCTATTCTATGCAGCACTTCTTCGTTTGAGGTATGCGATGTCCATGAAATTTTGAGTATTCTCCGGTAGATCCACATTTCAAAGGCCTCCAATTTATTTACGGTTGATGTTTTAAGGGTCCACGTTTCAACTGCATATAGAAGAGTCGACCAGACGTAGCATTTTAATAAACGTAGTCGAATTTCGAGTTTTATTCGAGAATCACAAAGCAGTTTTTTTATTTTTTTGAAAGATTTTCTGGCCTGTTTTATTCTCGATCTTATTTCTTGATCAGGATTTAGGCTGTTATCGATCCAACATCCCAGGCACTTAAATCTATTGACCTGTTCTAAGATGTGCCCATTTATTGTGCAAGGTTGAGGTACGTTTTGGTTTTTTCGGATTGACATCACTTTGGTTTTTTAATGTTTATTTTCATACCAAATTGCTCACAGGTCGAGTTGGTCTTGTCGATGAGTCGTTGCAGACCTGAGTCGGAATCCGCAATTAACACTGTATCATCGGCGTATCTGATGCTGTTGATATTTACGCCATTCACCTTGACTCCATCCTTGGAAGCCTCCAATGCTTCTTTAAATAGAAACTCGGAGTAAAGAATAAACAGCAGAGGCGACAGAACACATCCCTGTCTAACTCCCCTCTTAATTTCTACTTCTGCGGATGTGGAACCTTCGATCCTAACTCTGGCTTTTTGGTTCCAGTACAAGTTTTTTAAGAATTTGATGTCTTTTCCATCTAAACCGACTTCTTGCAAACGTTCTAATAGTAGGTCGTGTCTTACTCTATCAAATGCTTTTTCAAAGTCTATAAAGCATATAAATATATCTTTCTGTTGGTCGTAGCATTTTTGGGCGAGAACTAGTAAACTGAACAGGGCTTCTCTCGTTCCCATGCCGGCTCTGAATCCAAACTGATCGTCTCCGATGATTGTTTCGCACTTTCTATAGATACGATTATGTACGATTTTTAGTAGGACTTTTACTGCATGACTCATAAGGCTTATCAGACGGAACTCATTGCAGTGTTGTGGGTTTGGCTTTTTTGGTAGTGGAATGAATATTGACTCCAGCCAATCTTGTGGTATTTTACCTGTATCATAAATGCGATTGAATAAAGGAATAAGGACAAATAATTCGATATTTTCTTCTCTGATTAATTTGAACGTTTCTGGGTATATTCCGTCTGGACCTGGGCTTTTGTTTGTTTTGAGATGATTAATTGCATTTATGATTTCAGATTTCAGAATTGTTGGCCCTTCGTTGTTATTTTCCAATCTTGCTGAACGTTTGCATCCAAATTAAATCGCAGTTGATTCCAGCGCACACCGTCGACGTACACGGCTATCGGTCTGCTGTGCGCGTAGCTCAGCAGAACCTAACAAATCGTTATCATAGAGAACCATTTCTTTGATTTTGACGAACGTGCGCGACGTTCGACTGACTGTGAGTTATGCGGCATTCGACTGACTGTGAGTTATGCGTCGCTCACTGTTCTAACAAACCATAGCTTTACATACCTATCGGCTGTTCTACAAATTACAATGTTAAAAAGCTACCAGGACAAAAATTATAGATAACACCTTGTTGTCGGACTTTTTAGTAATTATTGTAATGAACAAATTTTAATTTAGTTCAATTGTACAGTTTTGTGCGTTGTAAAAAAAATTGTTGAAAATTACACTTTGAATACTTTAATTATTACCTGGAATCATACAAACTTGAAGGATCCTCTGAACAATGCAGAAAACAATGTTATTTCTGATCCCACACTTCATCTCTCATAATTATTATAAGTTTATTAGTTTGAAAGCTAGCACCTTGGTGCTGAACTTTTTTTAAACCTGTATATTGATTTAAGGAATGATATTCCAAGTGTAGCCTTTGTCGGAGGAGAAGATGGTCTTGGTTTAGAGACTTCTTTAAAATAGTGAGAGGAAACTTTCCTTTTTTGTGATGGATAGTCCCAAATAACGGAATTAAATTTTCTTTTATGTGAATTACCATCTGCAGTTCATTTTATTTTATTTAATATTTTGAATATTGAATTTTATTATTGTGACATCCCCGACGTTCTTCTGTCAAATGAACCTAGCTTTGGCTTTTTAGCTTATCTACGTTGAAATGAAGACTTAAGAATATTATACATTTAAATAAAATTTAATTAATAGGTTTGTTATGTTGAACTAGCAATAAGAACTAGTTAATCCACTGCATTGTGCTGGGATAGTTTATACGTAAACGAAATGTTTTTTATTTATTGTTTTATTATTTTTAGGTCATCCCACTTGTCTACAATTTACCAACAATATGAAAATTTTCGTGAAAACCTATCGCTGGCAGTGTATTGAATGCAAATGTTGTTCAATGTGTGGAAATTCAGATAATGATGTAAGTGTTTTTCTGTATAAATATTTTTTAATGTTAATTCATTTTTCTACCCAGCATGTAAGTGTTTACTTCGTAATAACCAATACACAATATAATCATAATAATGTCCCAGGAAGAATCGCGAAATGAGCAAAAACACATAAAATCAACACAAAAAGACCAGTAGGAAGACTCCCGAAGAGGTGGTATGACATCTGGACATCTACATCGTATGAGCTAGGGTGATAAAATAAACAGGAACATGTCCTACAATGAGAAGAAGAACAAGAATCAGTAGCGTACGGAGAATTTACGACTGAAGTTTCTCCAATATTAATACACTATATTTATGTTTTTATCTTAAATTATTTTTGTGTTTATTCTTAATGAAATATTTTATACTTGTTTTAGGATCAGTTACTGTTTTGTGACGATTGTGATAGAGGCTATCACATGTACTGCTTAAGTCCTGCCTTGGTAAACCCACCAGAAGGATCTTGGTCATGTAAGCTGTGTATCGACCATTTTAATAAATAGGGATATTCCGATTTTACTTATATTTTTTATTGATTCGTTCGTTTTAACTTTTAATTATATATTTTACGAAAATATTTTACATAGGTCCAAAGTTGTACTTAACTGATTTCCTTGAATTTTTAAATATATACCAAAAGCAACAGTGTTTTTTTTCTTTCCTTACCTCTCTTTTATACGGTAGAGTAACTTAAATAAAATCTGGATGGGAGGAAAGGATGCCCAACAGTTGGGTATTAATGTGGGTAACATTAGAATTAACCCAAGAGGAAGTTTAGTTTTGGAATATAAGTTGGACGAAGAATACCAGGTCTAGATATGTTCACTATACAACCGGCGCTTGGGTGTTTTGAGGACACAGCGGCGAAATTTGTAACGTAGGTCTACAGATCGTCTATTACGAGGATACTGAAGTTAGAAAGAATAAGGAAAATTATTCATACTAACTCAAAAGTTTAGTCAAATAAAATGGCGCCAACTTGTCTTTTCTGTGAGGGACAAGGAAAATTCTTAAAACCGGAATACATGTATAGCCAAATAACAAGAAATAATCACGTTTACCTTATATGGTCTTTCAGTAAACTTGCTAAACTTTATTTCAATCTAAGAACGGAACGTTTGGCCTATGCATATCAATGTTGCCAAAACCCTCAGCCACGTGTTGCTAATAGACTGTCGATATACGAGTCACTATAATCAGAACCGTACTCAGCACTGTAGATGTAGTTAACTTAATTTCATTAATAAGCGGATACATCTAGTTGAATACAGAATAATGCATTATAATTACGTACTTGTTTCTGTAATAGAGAGATATAGGTACGTAATTATTATAGTCCTGATAAAAATAGTTTTAACTTTACTATGGTTTAACATTACATGTTTATTAACGCTTTAGATAAGACTTAACTAAAGGATAAAAACATGCAACTATTACCTAACTTTAATTTTGCCAGACTATCACTTACATACTTTTTGGATTTGGCACTTTGTATGCGCCGATCAATATCATCCATCACCCTGTCAATAACCCAAAATTTTTGTTTTTCCTTAACAGCAAGTTTACAATAGTTTTTGCAGTTCACTGTTTCTACACCAAATGCATTTCTTATTAATTGTTCTTTTACGGCGGTCTTAAACTCTGTGTTGTGTGAGGCAGTATGTTTGGCAATATCTTTCAATTGGATTCAACTCACAGTGGTACGGAGGTAGTCTCAGAATGGCAACATCTTTGCACATCTCGTCGATTTTATATTTTATGTATTCTTTGAATGTATTTACTACCTCCTTAATATCTGATTTTAAATATTCTTCAAAAAAGATATTTTTTCCAGCAACCATATCGTAATTTAATCTTTATTAAACACTTGTGTCGGAATCACTTCTCTCCTCGAATGGTATGAGGCGTTGCTCATCACAACAGTTTTGTCTGGAACATTAGGAAGCAACACTTCCTTAAACAATTGTTTAAATATAGGACCATCCATCTCATCATTACAGTTCGCTGAGATTTTTTTAGCTGAAAACCAAAAAGCAGCACATTCCACAATGTTCAATTCACTACCCGCAAGCACTATAACAAATCAGGGGCCTCGCTGTGTCGGCTGTTTTAGGCCTGTTGATAACCCATGTCCGTTTGATCTACCTACTCTAATACTACTTCGTTTGCAAAAAACAAAGTTCCTTTTATGGACTATTGCCCACGTTCTGGTGCGTGATATGTTTGCTATATCTGTGTCTTTTTTAACCAGTGTAAAAACTTTGTGCAATGTCGTAAGTAAATTTTTAAAGAAAAAAAGAATGGTTTTTTTACTGGCCTTAGTCCTCCTTCCGCAGCTACGTTGTGTATTTTAGAAATAGTACTAGAACCTACTTCTGTCATAGCACTTTATCAATTAAATTTCTAACACTTTCACCACTATTTAAAATGAACATTAAACTGTGAAGTCAGAATAACTACTAAACAACCACAAAGCCTGATGATTATAGGTGCGAGGTTTGAATATAATTAGTTTGTAATGGTCATGAATCTAATGTCATGTATATTCTCACCGAAAACCAATGAACCTGTCGTTAATATAATTAAAATAATATAAAACAAATTTTTTGTAATAGTATATTACATAACGAAAGTTGCAAGAAGCTTATTACATGCAAGTAAAAAAGTTGCGCGCGAGCCGCGTAGCGTCGAGCGCAGTAATTTTACAAACATGTAATAAGCTTACAACTCAAGTTGTGTACTATACTTTTTCTACGATAATTTTCGTTTATAAAAATAAAAATTAAATTACCACTATATTTACACTGACAGATTAATAATTTTTAATCTGTCAAAATAACGTCTGTTAATTCGTTTCCATGGTAACTCGACCAACTGAAGCGTAATTTTTTTTTATTACGTACTAGTCATTACGTGTCAGTATCTGTTATGATGCATTTACTTAGCATCCAAATAGTAGGTAATATACAATTTACTAGTAAGAGAGTAGAAAAATAATATTTATTTAATTAAACTCATTTTTCCTATTTTCCATCTGTTGTGTCCATCACTTCTGGTCAATAACGTTAGAATAAATTCATTTTAATTCATTTCTGTGGACAGGAAAATAAAAATACAACCCTGAATCGTGCTTTTCGCAACCCTATCTATGCAACGTTTCGTTCTTAACGTGAAACGCTCTATAGCAATTATTTACTTCCAAAAAAAAAAAGATTCTCGGAGATATTAAACTAAAGATCCACAAGGAATCTACGTTTCTGTAGTTGGCTGTATATCATAAAATTTTTTTAAAAATCCTTTGTAAAAGGTATATTTAAGAACCCAAACGGGCTAAGTTAGACAAAACGTTTTCGGAATCCATATATGGGTAAAAACCCGTTAACAAATAATTAATTACATTTAGTTTACAATATTTCTTAAAATAGGTTAAGATGTTAAAGTTACCGTTGGATTAGGTAACATGGCGACATATGACTCCACGTTGAAGTTGCTAGTCCTGAGACGGTGTGTCTACAAGGACTGTATAGAAGCAACAACAGTGAAGTACAAAAAAATTCCTTCTCAACGATCCCACGCTAAGGGGATTTTTGGGGGTCGTATTATATAGAGAGACAAATAACCATCAGCGGTATTTACAAAGTGTAAACATACACTTAAAGTTTGTTTTCTCGTTTGAAATTCTAAAACGCAAAACTTTAATTGTTTGTAGGAACTTATATAGATTTTTATGATATACAGAGTGAAAAGGAACTGCTACAGTAGTACAGCAGACATTTTCAATAAAACAAGTAATTCTGGAGATTCGGAAGCCTAAATCATTACTAAGTACAAGAAAGCTGGGGTAATTGTTGAATCCATTTGTTCTCATTAGTTGGTTCTTAACAATACTAAAAAAAATTACTCATAAATATATCGAGCAGAGAAAGAGGTTGGTATTTTATCGTGGATCGAACTACGGATCTCAGATAAAAAATAAACGAGGTAAGACACCTTTTTGGAGATCAGAACAAACTTATATCTATCAATCAATTAAAGTAGGTTATAAAACGTCAAAAGTATGCCCGACAATCCGGTTTGGTAAAAAAGAGAGGTTTATGTTTGTACAGTTCTGGTTTGGTGTTGGATACGAAGTTGCAGGTTTTAAATTAAGTTTAGGAGAAGAGACTATTGAGTTGTAAGACTTTTCAGTACTTGAGATCAATGCATGACAAAATCATAAGCCCAAATAGTACTTGTGTGAAAACATTTCATAGATTGGTATGGTACATCACTCTAACCAAAGAAAACAAAAAAAGGATCTTTCAGAGCATAGTACTGAATATGACGAAATAATATAAAAACATTTGAATTGAACTTTATCAGAAGATGTAAGAAAATAAAATAGAGGATAGAATAAGAACAGTGGAAATATGGAACTAGAATGCTTAATTTAAAAAAAAATTATAAAACAGCTCTGCAGTAGTACAGCATGTACAAAGAATGCTAGACCGATAATGGCTATGAGAATAGAGTGCTGTGGAGTACGGAAACAGCGAACTCATAAAAGTAAAAAGACGAAAGAAGGGACCAGTGTTACCATACGGATGTGAAACATGGTGCAAGACAGCAATAGGAGATCAACAATATCTAGCCTTGGAAAATAAAATTTTCAGTTCTATCTTAGGTCCTTACCAAGACTAGCAGAGCACGTGGACAATTTACAAAACCATGAAATATAAAGACTCACAGGACAGCCTTTAGATAGATCAGTATTAAGAAGCTATGATAACAGACGTATGAAAACCATCTTTATGGCACAACCTATAGGAAGACACACCCAGGGTCGTCACTGACAGATATTGAGTGACAATGTGAAGACGAGACGAGTGACAATGTGAGACTTAAAGAGATAAATTCATGTTGATACTCCTCTCGAAACAGCAACACAGGGCAGAAAGAAATAGCGAGGCTTTGTGAAGGAGACCCAAATACCTAGAGGGTTATTCGACCATCGAAAATAAGTAAAGTAGTCCTAGTTCTGTTACATCTTTATCTATCGCCTTGTATATAATTTACTTTAAGATTATTACAATTATCACAAGAGAAGATTTAAAAGGCAGCAGAGGAAAAGAAAATGTAACCAGAGAGAAAAAACCCAACCGAACAGCTTAAATAAAGACAAAAACAAAAGAAGACTCCTGATCTGAATAGATAACTTTTCACGTCACCGATACCAAGTAAGTTTAGTAATGAACACTAAAGAAGAAGAAACTGCCGAGTGTCTCATCTTCGAAGAAACTACAAATGAAGGTTGGGTACAATGCACTACGTGCAAGAGTTGGGCTTACTTGATCAAGGGATTCAAGGATCCAGAAAATCTATTTTTTTCTAAGTGGGAAAATTGCGCAACATAAACATTTGTAAGCATATAAAATTCAAAAATATTTACATAGCTCACAGAATTATATAAAAAAAATGTATTTCATTTTTCTACCCATCCGATTAATGTATTTTTGATGTGTCCAGTACTGGGCAAGTGTTTCTGTCGGCGTTATCTAATTGCCCCACGAACTACCTGAGCCCATTAATCCCAAAAGTACCTGCTGCCCCATCGCCGAGAAAGTTGGGGATTCTTAATGACCAGAAATTCCAAATTTGATTATAGTTGAAAGGAAGAATATAAATATTGTTTAAATAATATTAATTATACAACTTTTAAATGGCGAATCCAACGACAAAGTTTAGTCAAGGGGGAAAACTTTTATTAATAATTAATAAATATAAATATTCAAAAAGTTAGATGGCGATGCATCAAAAAAAGAGGGTGTCAACAAAAAGTGCACACGGTGATGAAAATTATCTTGAAAAAGCATCGGTGAAGCATAATCATGCTTCAGATATCCACATCGACCGGCAAATTTGTAGTAATTCTACAAAGAGGAAAGCTGTAGAAGATATTTATATGTCAAAGACCTTTAAAGATTGTCTACAAGTAATTAAGGAAGGAAAATTTAAGCAATTTACCGCTGACGGCGAAAGACATTTCTTGCGTTCGAAGAAATATCTATGCTTCAAGAAATGTATAATACATGTGAAAACTTTTTATTATCTACGAAAAATAATTCCGCAATTTTTGGTTGTTTCACAAATCTTTACTTTTTGTGTAATGTAGATTCTTTGTATGTAGACGGAACTTTTCAATACTGTACTAAATATTTTTGTCAGATGTTTACAATACATGGCTACAAAAATGGTTTTTATGTTCCTCTAGTATTTTGTTTGTTAACAAATAGGTAAATGACGGCAATCGTACAAAGGTACTTTTGATATATTAATAACAATATGTACAAATTTGAATTTAAATTTCAAACCGAAGCGAATAATTTCTGATTTTGAAATAGCAATTTAAAATGCAGCCAAGTTAGTGTGGCCCGACATTATGATTTTTTGTTGTAAATTTCATTTAACACAAAAGTGTTACCAAAAAATTCAAAATTTAGGTTTGTCCTCGGAATATAAAAATCAAACTTATTGGAAAATATTTAAAATTGTTTTTTGGCATTCCTTATTTAGGTCAAAATGATGTTGCAGTATGCCATATAGTAGAAGCAAAGAATATAGGTAGAAGAGAGAAATAAAATATTTATCGATAAGCATTTACAGATTAACATAATTTCATAATTTATAACTTTTTTTTGAAAATGATTTTAGAATTGGAAATCGAAACGTCGCGTCAGAACAAATGTTGTAATTCTCACTACAATCAATTATTTATTGTGAACCCCAAATAAATGTAATATTTAATATAATTTTATTGTCAAGGATATTCTTATAGCGCATGGCACAGTAGTCAATTCAGAACTATCGATCTCACCCCAGCTATACAGTCGTTCAATTTGATATTGTACGAAATTTTACTATGCTCAAAATGAAATAATATTCTGAGTTACTATATTGTACAAGATGAGTTCCCAAAACACCCCAACGCTGTCATCCCTTCAAATTCTCTAGTCCATTAACCTCCACGTGCCATAACAAGTTATTTTATTTTTAATTCTTCTAGAATAACAGTATATTATTGAAATACCTATCCTTTAGTATGAATCAACATATTTAATTGTTTTTTGCAAGGTTTATTTGAGTTAGACAGGTAAGTTTTTATTTAAAAATAGATATGTATGTATTAAGGGGTGTATATCAAATTTAATGTAATCATTCAGATTTTATTTGCTGTTTTCGTTGTGTACTTATTACCAAAGAATATAGACGCTATTACCATAATATTGTAACAAAAGAACAAGTGAGAGTTAGGTAAATAGATCAAATATATGATTTTTTAAGTTTTGAGATATGGGTGAAATGTTTTTATCGATTGTAATCTTCAAAATTTAAACAAAAGCCATTCTCCTTTTTCTCTTCTGCTCTTTAAATGTCCAGTTATTTAAACACTAGATCTTCTCTATAAATAATTAAATACTTACTTATTATTTTGGGCAATTAAACATAATATAGGAATTAAAAATAAATTAAAATAATAGAACAAATCTAAAACACTTTAAAACAGTTTTAACTCATAAACAATTGAAAATTAATATTGCTGAAAATACCACTGATAAGATTTTGAATATTTTATCGTTTTATGTATTTATGTGGACGGGTTGATATCAGGTAATGCAGGTAAGCCCGGACAAAGACAAAGGTTGAGCAACAGGCCAACGACCTGTTATAAAGAACCATTGTCAAAATACCCAGGCCAGCCTTAGACCAGAGAACTAAGGGTTTTCCCGTGGCAATGGATGATACAGGTATCTAACAACTGCGTTTGATAAATTTGGTAATAACTCTATATAATAATAACTTAATTTTCTACTTATAAACAATATAAGATCGCTATATATTTTTAAATACTAAAAGAAAAGATATAATTTTTTAAAAAAGCGTAGAAAATCTTTTAAATTGAGGGTTTTTAAAGGTATTTTTTAATTTGTTCCCAATCATTGCAAAAATAGCTTCAAAGTTGATTTTTTGAAAATTATTTTATTTTCATTTTTATAATATTTAAAATATTATAAAAATTTTTGAAACTTTTCTAGAAACACACAAATTACTAAGATTTTGGTTGAAAATAAGAACAATATCACAAACATTTACCTTGAAAAATTTCAAGAAGTTTTATTTAACAGTTATTGCATATTTTTGAACTTGTTTATCCTAGAAAGCTTTTATCTACAACGTTATTATGCGTAAACTATTAGGCCTACATAAATTCTGAACGCACCGTTATAAAGAGAAAGCCTTATTTTCATCAAATTAAATCATTTAATGAATTAAAAATTTATTTTAAATGTAAAATACTTAAAGGTGTCAAAATTTCGACCAATTATGTGCCAAATCACATACAAAATTTAAATTGAACAAAAAATATAACCTTTTTATTTATACCTCAGACATCGATGTTTGTCATATCGGACTCATTATTCGGGTCATCCGGTAACAGCATTTGAATTGTTTCAGAGCAAAATGACCCTGGTGTGACCCAGGGTCACACCAGGTTTTGTGTTGTATCCGTTTCTTGCTGCTTAAAATTGTGAAGTCAGCTGAATATATCTAGGTTGCATTCAAAAATCGTGAATATATCTCACGGTATAATCAAAAACGCGCATTGTTAGATGCTTTCAAAGAATCTTGGGCTAGTGTTGCCGTTATTAGTGTTTCCAAAATTGGCTTTTGGCATGACGAACAATGATTCTGTTTCTTTTCTAAATCTTTCCTCAATGTGTTTTGAATCAGTTTTGTAAGGTAAATCATATAAAAATTTGTATCCTTCATCTAGATTTTTTCTTTTTTTCCCTCTTCGCCTAGCCTCTTGAATGTAAGCAATTTGTACTTGTCTTCTTTTAAGTATCTGCATTGAATAAGCGCTTATTTCATTAACCTTTTTATTAGAATAATATTGAGGATATCTTTCATCTCTGTTTTGTGTACTGACTTTTGACGCAGTCTTATTAATAAATAATTCATTTACTTTCTTACCCAGTTGTTTACTGTTTGGTTGTCTCTGGATGCTTTCTACTAATTATATGTTTTCTTCCCTGTAGTCGACTACACGCATTTGTAATAATTGGAAGACATTCTTTTTGATTAAATAATATAAAAGCGCCTCCTTAAATAAAATTAAAAATAATAAAAATATCTTTACTTTAAACTTTCTTTTGCACATTTGGTATATGTCTTTGTTATCTTTAACATGAAACACTTTTTTACAATACAGTTCTAAAAGCCTGAATTATTTGGGATATACGCTTGAGAAATTGCAAATTACCTTTACCTTTAAATTACGCTAAACAATTAACGGAATTCGCCATTTGAAAATCGTTACGTAATCCTACTGGTAGGTGCATATTAATTACTGTTATACACCTACATACATGTTAGTGGATATATTTCAATAAATATTTTTGCAATTCTAGTACATAATATATCCAGCTAGTTTTCTATTATTAATAAAGACTTATCTATACAATCAGGTGAGCTAATATTATATTATTTTTACTATTTAATCATTTTTACTATTTAAGACAACAAATTACATGTTATTGCTTAATTTGTGTTTTTTTATTATTAAATTCCCTACTTGTTCGTTATATCCTTGTTAAATTTTTATAATTTTTTTTAGATTATGATTGCTATAAATAAATTAATGTCATTATCATAATTTTGTTCAAAATTTTGAAATCCTCCTTCTCTTTCCTTCTCGGTTTTTATTAGTTGTTTTGTTTCACCTATCATAATAGGTTCTAAGGTGTTGCATTTTAGCAATTCTTCGAGTATTACTGGTGTCCCCGCGTATTTATTTAAGATAATTATAATATACATATTGTGATATATTATAATATACTGAACGGCAGAAAAAGTGGCCACCCACTTTTAAATATATACTTTTAACTATAAATTTCCTCAAACAAAAATTCTGTTTAATATTGCGTCTCATTTTATATATTTATTGCGATCATTTATGCTTCTTTTTGACAGTTTTCACATTTATGTTGTTGTTTTCTGTAGTCACTTTTTATCTTTCATTCAAGTTAAAATCATTTAATTAAACAGTAATTTAGCTTTTTAAACGTGGATTTCGACTAAGTGAATAATTAAAATACGGTGTTATCTACAGTAGATGTTGCTCGAATTATTGCATTACTACAAGACGGAAGAAGTCAAGTTTGTGTATCAGAAACTTTAGGTATTCCGAGAACTACAGTACGAAGAGCTTTCCATCGCTTTATAGAGACTGGTACATACTCACGTGGACGTGGTTCCAGTCTTAGAAGAGTTATCTCGTAGGTAAAGAGATGATCGTTGTATTGTGAAGAAATTTAAGAAATCCCCATTCCACTGCAATTACTGCAAGAAACCGTCTGGAGGAGGTTCAAAATGTGAATGTAATTGTAAAGAACGGTTAGAAGACGCCTCAATGAAACAGGACTAATGGCAAGAAGGTCAGCTATTGTTCCCGAATTACAATCCAGACACTGTAAGCATCGGTTAGTTTTTGCTAAACAACATAAATACTGGGATATACAGGATTGGAGGCGATTCTCTTTACTGATGAATCACGGTTCTGTTTGAAAGTATGACGATGGCCGAAAGAAAGTTTTAAGATGGAGAAATGAAAGATATGCCCAAGCTTGTATGTCTCAAAGAAGAAAGTTTGATGATGGTGGTGTCATCGTTTGGGCTGGAATCTCATTTGAAGCTTGAACTGAAGAGATTTTTATCAATGGCCTCCTGAATGCTCAACGGTATATAGAAGATGTTTTTTTGGTCCATAGAAGAGTTCCATTTGGTCTATTTATGAGGGACAATTTTGTCTTTATGCATGATAGTGTACCGTCATATTGTAAGAGTTGTGACAAATTACTTGGGAAAAGTAGGAGTGAATACTATAGAATAGTATTGCAGCCTGCAACCCTGATCTGAATATTATCCAATATCTTTAGGATGAACTTCATCGTTGGGTTAGAAGTCAAATAGGCCAGCCAGAAAGTCTTGTAAAACTTCAAAACATGCTTCTTGAAGAATATGAACGCATTCCTAAAGATTTTATTCAAAATTTGTTCCTTTTTCCTTCCAAATCAGATGAAACCGGTTATTCATGTTTTAGGGCATAATACCCGATATTAGACAATTTTGTACAAGTTCTCTCGTAATTTTTATTGTTTGTAATTCGCTTCGATATTACACTATTTGCTTTTGTAGCCTTCTAATTCAATCAATTATGCTAAGGAATCAAGTAATGGCCATTTTTTGTTTTAAAAATTATGTAAGTTGAGAATACAATATAAAGTAAAGAAGCTCTAAATGGTATGCTGCAAGCACTTTTTCTGGACTACCATAAGGACTAAAAAATATATGTTACATACCTGTTACTCAGACAGGTAATCATTATGTTACCGTCTGGTTTTAGGTCTTTATCAACCTGATGAGGCTAATGCAAACTATTTGATTTTAGCTTTTTTAGTAATATATTTTAGTTGGATTAGGTTCTTATTACTTTTAGGTCTTTACTTTTTGGGAGCTGTAGAGTACTGAAGCGCTTATACACAAGCTGTCACAGATTTTTCTGCCTACGATTGGAATAGTATTGATTTATAGATCTAATATAACAATTATTGTAATATGACTGATGATCATTCAAATGAAGTCGTAATAATTAATTTATTATTTCAGCTATAAATACTACCACAGTTATATAGAATCAATACCTATAAGTTGCTACTATAGTTGTTAAATACGACAATACAGATACACCATAAATAAGAGATTCATGTGGCAAACGTAAGTTTACAACATTTTAAAATTATAATTTGTTTTTCGCATATTACAATGTGGATATTTAAGCAAACAAAAACCCGTAATATTACAAGATCTTTTTAGCAATCTAGCAGGATGTTCTCTCGTTATGAAGTTTTATAGCATACACAGTCTAAACTCAAAACTTATTGTGCCTATAGGATTTTGATGTCAACAATCTATTGTTAATCATGAGTTTTATCGGTTTTATCCAAATTGGTATTAATTTAACTTATTATATTGGAAAAAGACTGTATACCTTGTATACAGTCAAAAAACTTGATAGTGTGTAAAATTTTTTATTAAAATCAGCTGAGTACTTTCGACTGTGTAACATGCCATCTTGAGAGATTTGTATTATAGGTTACAAATACCTAATGGAAGAGTGATTGTCGACACAAAAAAATATTAAAAACCTTAGAAGACCAACGGCTTTGTTTTAAGGGTGAAAATCCTTTTAATCTTGTAAAAATCACTTTTAAAAGATGCTTGGAATATCAATGACTGACTCGTTAAAAACAGCTGATTTCCCTCGTTTCACCGAGTCATCCGTTGATAGATCAAGCACCTTTTAAATGTGATTTTTACAACTTTAAAAAGGGTATGACAACCTTCATAACCTTTAAAACAGATTCTTTGGTTTTCTAATGTTTTTAATTTCTTTTGTGTCAACAATCACTCTTCTATGAGGTATTTGTAACCTATAAGACAAAGCTCTGACGATGGCATGTTGCATGCCGAAAGTACTCTATCAATTTTTTTGAGAACATACACCTGTTGCCAGTTTGACCTATATTTATTATTATATTATGTTTATTAGTTTATTTCCTTTAATTTTTTGACAAGGTAAATCTAAAACTGGAATTAATATTAGTCTTCTTCTTCATTTCATATTTTCAACGAGGCGTTACAGTTCTTTTTCCTTTCTTTCTTGTTACATGCCCTCATTTCTGTGACTATAAAGTCTTGTTATGACTTTTTTCCCATTAAGAAATCTTATTTTGCCAGCTTAAACTTTAGAGTTAGGTATCTCTTTGGGTCAATACCCAGCTTTCACATTTATACAGTGGTGAGTGCTTTATCACCCGGCTTTTTAACGTAAGAGATAGAAAACACAGTTACCTTGTGAAATAAAAAGAGATGAAACTCGTAGAGGTGGGAAATAATCGACAGAAACCTATAATTTACATTACATTGCATTAACACTATCGATAGTCTCACACCTTTAGACGTTAGCTTCCAGCTAAACCACCTCGGTCATAATTATTATTTGTGACGTCGTATGTGTAACGTATTTCAGTGACATTTTTTAATTTCGCATAAAGTAAAAAATGATTGACCACAATAAAGCAAAAATGTGAATAAAATAAATTAATTAATAGTGATTATTTAATCTAAAGTTTTAAATTATTAACCAAAAATAATTTCTATGATTTGAGGAGTTTCATACAGTCTTGTCACGGAAATAAACATCAGTCCTTCGTGGATTAGTGGTAAGAATTCGACACTGCGACGCAGACGATTAGAATTCAAAACCCATATGTGGTTTTCTTTTTTTTTTTAATAATTTGAAATTATGCAAAGATCGTTTTGATTTGAATCACTAGACATTTATGTCAGTCGTTACTAGTATTAGAAGTGTTTAAAGTTACACTTAAATATGTTTTTGAATTTGAATTATTTCGTATTTCCGTTTTATAACATTGGAATAAGAATAAATTGTAAATAATGAGTTTTTCGAAAACTTGTTACCTAATATGTATAATATTTTCTATTATTTTTTGATTGAGTAAAACAAAAATTTTATCCTTGGTGGGAATTCAACCCCAATCTTCTTGTATCTCTCCAAGTAAACTCCAAGTAAACTATATTTCAGTTGAGTTATTTTTATTATTAAATAAACTTAAAGATTTCCAATTTAAAATCGCTACTTATTAATGTTTTATACTTTAATTCTTAATTTATTCAATCAATTATTCTTACATCAGAAATTATTAAAATAAAATATTTTCGCGGTCATCCGTATAATTATGACTGAAGTCAAATAGCCACGTCTAAGAACTAGCGTTATCTCATTCTTTCTCACAAAATCCATCTTCTATCCTTTCCGCTATTTTGCCGGGTTTTAAAGCGACTTTAAACACTTCTAATACTATAATAACGTCTAAAGGTATGAGACTATCGACGGTGGTAATGTAATGTAATGTAAATTATAGGTTTCTATCGATTATTTCCCACCTTTACGAGTTTCATCTCTGTTTGTTTCACAAGGTAACTGTGTTTTCTATCTCTTACGTTAAAAAGCCGGGTGATAAAGCACTCACCACTGTATAATATGTTAGGTGTGGCTGTTACCAATATAAAAAAATTAAAATCGAAATTATTCAGTTTTCGAGTTGAACAGCAAATTCGTTAGACGTCTGTTCCAAACGAAATTTTTGCACTAATATACAAAGAAGAGTGGAAACCTTTGTTCCTCAAGTTGTGCCATAGATCGTTTAAATAATGTTCTTTTTGTCTTTTTTTCGGTGAATTTTTCGGTGGTCTTTTTTAGGGGCTTTTTAGAATATAATATTCTATCTAGTGTCCTGCCCAAGTATTTCAGTGTTTTTTTGTGCCTAAGATTGGTTTTTTCTCACCTTATGTTAAGTTGCTTTCTAGTGAATTTAGTATTGAGATAAAAATAACTAAGCTCTGTTTTGGAGGCATTAGCCCAAATATTCGCCCATTATTTTTAGGTCAGAGGGTCCTTAAAAACTCCGATTATACTACATCTTATAGTAATTAATCTTTTTGTGGTTGTCTCTTCATGTTTACATGTCTGAGTAGCAGATAGAAAAATACTCTTAATATACGTAGGCGGTCCGATAAGTACTTAGTATCACCGCTCGATGATGCCACTATGTTAGGAGAAATATATTATCGTGTAATACATTTTCATAGATGGCTAGTTTCAAAATTTTAACCGAATCGGACTTGTAGTTTTGTTTTGACAACGTGTGAAAGCGGACTATTCCGCGGATTTTAGGAGAAATAGAAAACGAGCAATATTGGTCGGTGAATCGATTTTTGTTTTTGGAAGGGAAATCACGCAGTAAAATCAAATAGGGCTTGGACGCTGTGTGCGGTGACTATGCTCCTTCGAGGGCAGCTATCAAAAATTGGTTTAACGAATTTGACGTGGCTGCAAGTCGGTTTTTAATGAGCCACGTCTTGGTGCCCTGAAAATTGCTGCCACCGACGATAACGTGACAAAAATCTGCGATCTCGTATTGACAGACCGCCCACTGACAGTGCATGAGATAACTGAGACAGTAGGCATTGCAAAAGACGGCGTACGTTATATCCTGAGAGAGAGCACTACTACTTCAGAGCACTATTTGACTGCTCTGAATTATTATGCTTAAAGCGTAATTCGAAGGATTTTCTGCATCGTTTCCTAACCGTTAATCAAACATAGATCCACTGGTGTACACCGGAGAAATAACAGTTGAAACAGTTGATGGCACCCGGCGGCATGCTCCGAAGAATGCGAAGACTGTCCTATTGTCCGGAAAGGTGACGGCCACCATTTTCTGAAATTCGCAAGAAGTGATTTACATCGATTACCTGGAGAAGCAAAAAACGGTCAGAGGGCCCTAGTACGCCGAATTATTGGGCCGATTCGACGAACAGTTGCAGAAAAAACGACCCCGTTTGGCAAAAATAAAAAGTGTTCTTCCACCTTGGAAGAAAATGGGTCGAATTGGGCTGCGAACTGTTGCCCCATTCACCGTATTTTCCAGATTTCATTCCGTGTCACTTTGTTTGCTTCCAAACTTGAAAAACGCACTCGCTAGGCAAAAATTTAAGAAGAATAAGGAGCTTATTCTCGCTACGACAGCCTACTTACAGAAAACGTATTTTTCAGACGCGTTAGACAAATTGGAGCGTCGCTGGGTCAAGTGAATGAGTTAAGATAAGACTATGTTGAGAAATAAATCTCCACTTCTACAAAATTTTCAATTTCTTGGCTAAGTACTTATCGGATCGCCCTAGTAACTGTTGAATATTTTGATTTTTGTTGATTCTGATTATATATATATATATATATATATATATATATATATATATATATATATATTACTTTGTTTATTTGCAACTATGTTATGTTTAAGTCAAACCCACGATGACTACGTTCAGACCGATGATATTCTTAACTACACCAATCTGTATTCAGTTTCTCAAAGAGTTACACCAACTAATAGCAGTTACTCAAATCTGGCTACCGTTAATGCAGGAGTGACTGATCAGCCCAAGTCATCCACTAAACAACAAGACTGGGATAATACGTCTGATAACAGTAAAGAACAAACTGAAAAGAAACAAGTTAGTGGTAAGTATTCAAATTTGTTTTAAAGATTTAAAAAAAAAATATTCAAAAGTTAATAACCATCAACATTAGTTTCTTTATACTTACTTAGGATCTTTTTCTTTTATCAGTTTAATTTTATATTTCCCTGACCCTGAATGTAATATTGTCAATGTCTATCTGATATTGCTGTGATGCTATCACGTTACCATTTTTGTGGTCTTCATCGACTAAAGATTCATCAATAAATAATATATTCTTAGAATCTGTCATTGTCCTATCATGCTACACAGTTCCATTTCTACGGTCAACGATTTGATTGCACAAACTCACGTTTTTTTTATCTGAAAAAGTGTTTCGAGCTTAATAGGTGTCCTATCGTAAATTTGGTGTGCTGATCATGAATCTTGTGCTTAGAGCTTTTTTTTTCAGTTCGTTAGGTGGTCAGCGAAAGTTTATTTTTTTATAGAAATTGAAATGTTTCATAGCTGCAAACTGCCAAACTACTGAAAAACTATTTATTGAAACTTTGTTTAAAAGTCAACTAAATAATAACATTTTAAAATCATAAATTTTTCATTTTTAAAAAATAGTCTTCTTCTTCTTCTTCAGCCTTCATTTATCCAATGTTTTGCAATTCTCTATCTATTTTGCATTTCCCTATCTTTTGCAATTCTCATCCACTGCTTTCCAGCTACAGCAGTTATATCGTCTATCCATCTCTTTTTAGGTCTTCCCACACTTCTTTTTATTTCTCGAGGTCTCCAGAATGTCACTTTATGAGACCATCTGTTGGTGTCTTGTCTTGCTACATCTGCTACCCATTGCCATCTCAATGTCGCTATTTTTCCCATGATGTCGGTTACTTTAGTTCTTCGACGTATTTCGGTGTTATAAATTTTGTCTCTGAGGCTTATATTTAACATGGCCCTCTCCATGGCCAGTTGAGTTACTCTTAATTGTTCTGCCATTTTTCTTGTTATTGCCATAGTTTCCAATCCATAAGTTGCAACTGGTAGTATACAAGTGTCATAGGTTTTTCGTTTTAAGTGAATTGGGATTTTTATGTCTTTTAAAATGAAACTCAACTTACCAAAAGCAGCCCATGATAATTGTGTCCTTCTTTTAATTTCTACGGTTTGATTTTCCTTTTCGTTTTTAATTGCATGCCCTATATATATATATATATATATTTATATATATATATATATATATATATATATATACATATTGTTCTACCTTTTCTATATTGATGTTATCTATCGTGATGTTTTCTAGGCTGTTGCTTAATATCTTTGTTTTGTCGAGATTCATTTTTAATCCTATTTGATTCGATTTGTGATTTAAATCTTGTAGCATTGATTTTAGTTCATGGATATCTGTGCTTATTAGTACTATGTCGTCTGCAAAACGCAAATGGTTATGATATTCTCCATCTATTTTTAATCCATTTTCGGCCCAATTTAGTTGTTTGAAAACATATTCTAATGCCAAAGTAAATAACTTGGGTGAGATGGTGTCGCCCTGTCTCACACCTTTGCCAAGGTCTATTTTCATAGTTTCCAGATCATCATCTATTTTTACGCGAAAAGTAGCATCATCGTATATATTCTTAAGGAGGGCAGCATATCTTGAATCTACTCTGGCGTCGTCCAATGCTGTTAAGAAAGCCTATTTCTCGATACTGTCGAATGCTTTGTGATAATCGACAAATGCCAGATATGTAGTGGTATGTTGTACTCTATTGTTTTTTCAATAACGGTCCGAATTGTTTGCAAGTGATCGATAGTGCTAAAACCCTTACGAAAGCCTGCTTTCTCCACTGGTTGGTATGCATCTAGTTTAGCTGTCAATCTATTTGTTATTATTTGGGTTAGTAGTTTGTAAAGGTGTGACAATAAGCTTATTGGTCGGTAGTTTTCTATATTTGCGGCGTCCCCTTTATTATGGAGTAGAATGACTTCCGCATTTTTCCATGTCTTCGGTATTTGTCCTTCCAATAGGCATTTATTAAGTAATGCTCTTATTGCCTCTTCTAATGCAGTGCCTCCCATTTTTAGCATCTCTGAAGTAATTTTATCTTCTCCTTAAAAAATAGTAAGCTCATAATTTATACCATTGAATATTGATGTAATACTTACTTTTCAGATGTAACAACTTCTACAAATAGCAAACCTCAAATGAAACAACTAGGGGAATCTAGTCAAGGACATTTTTCACCTGTTTGTGTTTATCTACACAATCGGGTGGCTATAATGCTAGAGATCGAAAACGTGGAAACTGTAACTGCTGAACAAATTTGCGAGAGGATCGTCAACAGTGAAGAATTAGGATTAGGAAAACAACTTTATTCCCAAATATTCTCTTTATGGATGATCAGTCCACTTTTAGGTATACAAATGAGTTATTTGTGCACTATATCTTAATAAAAAAAAAAGATATTTGATGGTATACAAGGCAAATATCAGATGACATGTGACCGCTAATCGACATGCGACTCAATATTTCCGCTAGACCGGGAGCCATTCTGTCTCCGGCTTCTATATAACATGTAGCTTCTCCATTTTAAAAATTTTAAAGTGTTTGTCTTTGTGTATTGTATTGTTATGTCCAAATTTACATGTATGACATTCTGCTCATGTCGGATAGGCCACAACTGACGAAGTAAGTCTATAAACGTTTATCACATAAAAACTTTTTTCAACCATAAACTTCGAGTTTTTTATCGAAGTGAATTAATTTCCCTTTTTAAAAAAAAAAAACGTTTCTTGGCTTATTTCAGATGCCCCTGAGGATGATCTATTGATCGAAAGTACTTGGGCAAGATTTAATTAATTACTGTGTTCGATATTTGCCTTGTATACCATCAAAGTTCAATTATTCGAACATTCAACCTTATATTGAAAAAAAGATATGTTGTTTGGTTTTAGAGCTTCAGCTAAAACCAACACACAAACCATATAGCATCAGGAAATGTTGGAGATCTTTGCTAGAACAATATAGCCATACGTCATATAATAGACAACAAAGAGATGAACCCAGATTAGTCTTTCAGAGAAACATATTTTTTTCTCCCCAATTGGAAGAAAAAATTAAGTAAGTATTCTAAAAGATTAAGTGATTTAATATGTAATAAAAGTTATCAGAGAAATATCCATCTTTCTGGCCTTACAAACATTTGTCTGCAGACACTACGGCCGTCCTCTCCATGAGAAGGCGTTATTTAAACATGCGAAACACCAACTAAACTTGGTCGAAAGATAGTATTCTAAAACTAGAGCTTTGATTAATCATAATAAATCCACAAGCAATAATGTTTAAAGGCTCTCCCCTAATAACATCAAATATTTCCTGCCTGACGTGTACGGAGAAAAACGGGACTTTTAATCATCAGTGACTCACTTAGAAATGCAATTAACAAGAATTCTCAACAGATATTGAGATTTAAAATACCCTAGACAGGGTAAGAATGTTCCCTTTGCTTCTTAGAGCATTAAATGGAAATTCGCAACCAGAGGCAGAAGGCAACAAATGGCTGAAGTAGCAAAACATGATATGTGATATATGTCATATAGCATATTTTTGACAGACTTGCATAAGTAGAATTTAAAAAACTCAGTTGGATACTGAAGAACCACAAAATACCTCAATACTCGAGAAGCAATTTGTTCAACCAATGCATGTTTCCCATCATGATATATGGATGTCATAAGGTAAATATAAGTAAACTAGCCACAGAGAAAGGACAATGGAAAGATGAATTTTAGGTATAGGCTTGTCAGATAAAAAGAGGAATGACTGGGTAAGATCAAAAACAAAAGTTGAGGATATGTTGATATCCTCAACTGTTGATCACAGCAAAAATTGCCAAATTCGAATGGAGTTTCGCAGGTCATAGTACAAAACAAAAAGACCAACGTTGGAACGCCACAATACAACATTGAAGACTTTAAAAGGTAGACGACCAAGAGGAAGACTACCAATGAGGTGGATAGACGACATAAAAAGAATAGCCGAAACAAATTGTATGAATGTTGCTCAGGATAGAGTTCGATGGAAGGAGTTAGGAGAGGATATGTCCAAAAATGAACAAGAGAAAGCTAAGTCCAAGAAGTTTCTACCTATGGTATAAGTTTAGGCAGGACTTGATACATAACATATCAAGTATCAATAATCTCATTATTGAAATAAGTTTTATCAAGTTGCTTGGATTTAGAAATTTTGACAGTAGGTAGAAAATAGCTCATATATTAAAACGTACCCTATGCCAATGTGCGCTTTTCATCTCTAGATCGTTACCTATCCTGGGCTAAAAGTAAATCTTCTTTTTCTAAATTTATGTATTGAAATAAAACTACTAAACAAGTAATGGTTCGCGCATCTTTTAATCATTCTATCACCTCCAATGCTCCGGTTTGTTTCTGAGGTAATTTATTCCGTATTATAAGATTTATTTTCTTTTAGGGATCAAAAGCTCATCGAGCTGCTATACGATGAAGCTCGCCATAATATTCTGCAAGGAAGGTATCCATGCGAGGAAATTCACTACATCATGCTGGGAGGAATTCAAGCGCGAATAGAATTAGGACCTTACAATCCTCAACAACATTCCATTCGTTTCTTTAGAGAAGAGCAAGTTAAGTATTTACCATTGCATATAAGGAAGAGTTCCACTTGGACGTGGTTACCGATCAGTTCCAAGAATTCAGCGGAAGTAAAGTTGTTAGAACAATTTAAGAGAATTCCCAACGCTACAACGAATAGGAAATTAATGAAGAAATATTTGGAATTTTGTTGGTCGTTACCATTTTATGGGTAGGTATGTCTTCCCTTAATATATCAGTATATATTATAGTCTAAAATATATATATATATATATATATATATATATATATAATATATATATGTATGTATATAGAAATATCTCGTAGATAAATATCTTATCCTGGTCGGGATGAGAACTTTATTTTAAAAATCTAGGTACTTGCCCGAGGTACTGCATTTGTTTGGATATAATAAACTATTCGTCTTTAAAAAAGAAGCTGACTTTACTTAGTAACAAGGCAATTACCCAACACACAGTCCAACTCAATACCATACTAAAGAACATCCTTGATATGAAATAAACTGGTTTTATGAATAATCCAATAGAAGAAGGGGATGACCTAGAGCACGATTTAAGACTTGAGAATGTTGGAAGTACGAAACTGGAAAACTAAGGCAAAGAATAGGAGAGAATGGAGACTTTTCCTTGAGCAGGCCAAGACCCATCATGGGTTGTGGAACCAATGATGATGATAATGATGAATAATCCCAGCCATAAAAAATAGAGAAAAAGATAAAAGGCTTTTTTTTATTTATATCTAAGTATATTTAAGAGTCCTTTTAATTTTTGCAGATCTGCATTTTTTGAAGGCCAGATAGAACAACCTGTGACAGGACTAACATCTTTATTAACTCATCAAGATCAACCAGTTTTAGTTGGAATTAACTTTAAAGGTTTATATATCATCGATGATATCCAATGTGTAAGTATCATTGTTTTACTCCATTTTAACATTCCATTTTCATATAAAGTTTCCTGTAAATTAAATATACTAATTACAACAGAAGTGTATTACTTTTTAACTATATGGTATACAGCCAACTCCCATCATTCCTTTTTACGTTTATAGTTTTAGTTCACTACACTATACTACAAAATACTACTATTCCATATTTTGGGGCCCCAGGTCTTTTGTTCGAATTCCACTTGACCGAAAATATAAACCAATAAGAGCTTGGCATTAATCCTAACTTTTGATAAGGTGATCAAATTGGAAAAATGGAAGTTTATGGCAACCTGGTATAGTCAACAAGATAATAATTTTACTATATTAGCATCTGTGGGTATTAGTACGTTCCATTTCAAAATATTTTATTAACGAATACAAAAGTTTATTACAATGACTATTGAGTTCTTATGAAATTTCGTTTTTTTTTATTAATGATAATAAATAAATGATTATTCACAGTATTTAAGGATTGTTTAGATTGCATAAAAATTTACGATATTATAAATCACATATGCTATCAAAATGGAAGTCAGAATCGATGGACAACTTAGAGAACCTATGGATATAGGCAACGGAATAAGACAAGGCGATGTAATAAGCAATATGCTCTTCACATTAATCATGGAATGAAGGGACACTAAAGAGAACAATATAATAAAATAACCACATAAAGAGAATGGAGGAAACTCGTGTAGTCACAGGTAGAAGAACTATCGGACTACTGCGCAAAAGATGGAGTGACAACCTTCCATAGAGGTATTAATTGCATATAAAGAGAAAGAAAAAGATACAAAATCCCTAGAAATAATACCAAGTGCACCTATCAATCATTTATGAATTAAGTCTTTAACGGCGAAATTTGATTTTTTATATTAGCGAAAGAAGATTGTTCAACGATGTATGTTCAACGAAGACTTTATATTTTCGGAAAATTAAAAAAAAAATGATAGGAACACACACTTTATTGACAAAAATTGAACTGTTACCATATGGTAACGCTCGCCTAATATGTAATACAAAATTATTTGATATGGAATATTCCATTACATTCTATTCATAGCCCAACGTCACATTTCAAACATTTTGTACGTACATTAGATGAACACCCTTCCCCGGCACATCTTCTTTTCTTATTTTTATTAGGCATAAGGAAGTGTCTACGACCATCATATCTTAGATCAAATGACACTCTGTTAAATGTCATACTGGAACGTGATATTGCTGGTTTTCCAACGGCTTTTGGGGGAGTCCCATATTTGGTAATATATGCTTGTACTACTTGTCTCCTAAAATCTAGTTGAGATATAAGTTCCGTCTTCCTGTAAACATGCCATGCATTTACCATAGAAACGTCTAACAACCATGTGAAGATTGGCCACCACCACTTTTTTCCGTCTGATACTTATCTTATACCTTGAAAGATTCTCATCTAGCAAATCAGTACCTCCCATAAATCAATAATATTTAGTTATAATTGATGGACGATCTTTTACACTACTAACTGTATTTATTCCATGGCATGTAGACGCTGCAGTAACTGCATTGTTATCTACCCATTTAACGATAATAATTCCATCATCCTTATTTAGTATTGAACTATAGCCACCTCTCACATTTTGTTTCAAAATATCTTACTTTTGGAGTAATGGCAAGATATGGGTATGCGGTTTTCCCGAATTGTTTCTGTTCCATCATAACCCAGTTGTTTAAAAAAAAAAAATAAATTAAAATCCGTAAATAGGTAGTCAAAATAAAATGTGAATGGTAAAGTTTTGTAAGATTCAGGGAATACGTGTACCATATTCACCATTGGAGCTATGTTTTTTTCAAATTCTGTCGACGAGTTTTGCTATGAGACGCCTCATATATTCCATTATAGTCTTCTTCTATTATCTCTACTCGTACTGGAGATCACTTGTAGCAGTTCTTCCTTTGATATAACTGGAAGATGATTATAGACTTTTTAGTAATACTTCTATTTAAGGGAAATAACCATACAATATTTGGGCCTTGCTTATTATGTATAACTTTTACTGTTACATAATTTAATATTTAATAGTATTATATGCTTCATACTACTTGTAAACCTTAATTTCCAATACAATATAACTTTTATACAACATTATACATTTTAGGTGTTATTACTAGGACTAAAATTTGAAGAATTTAGTTGGGAATATGCAAGACCCTCAAAAGAAGAAAATCCCAATTGTTTGCCGTGTTTGTTTATTCAATTTAACGTTGTTGAAAACGGCACAACTGTATCAAAAATATTGCAAATATTTTCTAGACAAGCTAGTTTAATGGACACCTTGATTACTGCTTTTATAGAACAAGTTAAATCGAAAGTAAATGATGAAATAGACAAACCTTTGGATCAAAGTCACAATGAGATAGGTAAGTTACAATAATAATTCAAGCTGTTTCGTATAAAGAGAAGTCCATTTTATTTTAGTATATAGAAGTATAAAGAAGATCACTTTATACACATAATATAAATGACTTAAAATATTCTATGTAAAGTGGAGGTTATTGTAAATCTAGAATTTCGAGAATTGAGTCATAAGGAGACCTCAAAATATTTGCTAAAACCTGATCCACACCCATATTTAAATACATAAAAATATACACAAACAAAAATATATACAAACAGACTTACTTATCTATACCTATCTTATACTTACTTATACCATGCTTACTGGGCGAATCACAGACAACCGTAACAAAACTGGCGTATCACACAGTTAAATTTATTTTGAGACTACTGTCCCCTTCAGTCCCTCCATTAGTACAGATGAAAAGTTTTAAATTAAGCTATCTATCAGAAAACTGGCACACTTTGGGGCGCACCAGTAACATGTATAGTCTTAGCATGCCAAGGGCGTACTAGCGTGCCTAAGAAGGCAGATAAGTAAGAAACCAAAGATATAGCTCAGTAAAGGAGTTCATAACCCCTTAATGTGTGACTTTTCGGAGTTTAGTGGAAAATATTGAGCCAGAAGTTGTCCATAGAGGAGACTTTATGTCAATTAAAAACGCCTGTCTGGAGCTTAACTAAGCTCAAAAAGAGGGCAAAAATAGCTGCTGGGACGTGGACCAAAGAAAATAAACACAAAACAAAAGCCAGGGAACTGGTAAAAACCAAAGGTCCAAACAGAACTAGAGAGGCTGCTATACCATTACCCCCCTCCCCATAACAAATATATAATCACAGATAATCAAGCAATTATTAACAGCTTTCTAACTGTTTCTACACATTTTTGGCATTAGGAGCTCCTGGTTTACAAACGGCATATTATATGGTCTTTTTTCGCAAATCAACGATTTTGCTCTCTAGATGCTTTTTGCTTTTTTTATATTTGGTTTTATCTTACTATCTTAATTTTCATTAATCTTGTCTTCTTTATAACGTAACGTCTTCATAAGAAATAAATTTCAGCAATTCTTGTAGCGGAGCTGTGCAGTAGCATGTTCTATTTATGTGCTAGTTCTGTTGTGATTTCCAGACCTACTAAGAGTTGCACGTTACAAAACTGGACTTATGCCTCTATCACATTGAATGATATATTTAATATATATTTTTTGTTTTAGAATCACACTCATCAATTATGATGGGAACTATGTATCCTTCAACTCTGCCATGTCTTAATAACAAACTTAACAGATTGACATTAGCTACATTCGATGAAGAGGGTCACTGTATTGGACAAATGGGTTCTTGGTCATTCAGTTACTAAAGATGGCAATGACATGGTGGTGATAATTCCAAATGATAAAATAATCTATAAAAAATAGAAACATATTGGTTTTGTGAAGCTGATTCGTTATGGAGTATAGCAAATAGTTACAACAGATATTAAAATTGAAACAAGGATTTTTTCCGTGAATAAATAACTCCTTTTTTATTTGTTGGCGTATTAAATGTTTTTGTTATATTATTAATCAAATAATGTTTAAATAAATAAAAAATATGTAACAAATTAATATTTTGTTTTTTTCTCTTATGTTGATATTTTATAGCAGTCAGTAGCTTAAATAGCCGTATGATACGGGTGATGCAATAAGCCCGTAAAGCAGGTTTATGTGCCTGAAGGGCTCATAAATGGGCCCAATCTACAATAACCATAACAATAGTAAAAATAACTCTTATTTTCACTTTAACTTTCCTTTCGGTTTGGTATTTATTAAACTCTTAACATAGGCAAGCTTCCAAAATGTTGGATTAATTTTATTTTTCGCGTTGAAGTACACATTTTTCGGATTATTCTGTTTGTAAAGATTACAGTTCTCTTCTCTAAAAGTTTGTTCTAGAGAATCTGTTGCTGATATCGATGCAAATAATAATTCAAGAATAAATCACTTATCCAAAATTAGTATAAAAATTAAATTTAACTTTAATATCATAATGGAATCTTCACCCTTAGCGGAGCGATTACCTACTCTTTCTTCGGGATCTTCTAAATAATTTGTTGCGTGGAATCTATTAATTAAAAATGTCCGTCTTGCCCGAACTCCTTTCCAGAAAGGATTAAAAAATACCACACTAGATGAACACCAAAAATTAATAAAGCCAATATAAGTGACGGTCATTCCCATCTTAAGTTCCCATCTGGACGTCGTCTTTTTCTTTTGACACCTCTTGAATACCATGGTGTAATTCTAGTGGACCATCCATTATCAGTTCTCGCTAATTGTACCTCCCAATACTATTTTAAAGATTTGATTCTATTAATTATATCTGTGACCTGGGTTTTCTGTCTGATTTTATTTTCTTTTGATTTTTTTATGCCCAACATGCATCGCTCCATTGACTTTGAGTGATTGTGAGTTTCGCTATCATCTGTTTCTTTAGTAACTCAAGTATCGCAGGGGCATGTCATGATGGGCAGTATACACTGATCGAATGCTCTTTTCTTCAGAGGTGTACACGCGTACCTACGTATTTAATGCTTTAAACAAATTTTTACCATTAAGATATGATCGATTTAGCTGGCTTACTCTTCCTTCCAACTCAGAAGTTAGTTCGATTTTTATTTGTTTATGGTCAATTTTTCGTTCTTGTTTTACTCCCAAGATAATTGTACATATGTTTTTCACCAATGTCCTCGATTTTTTGGCAATCTGGCATACATAATCCCCCGGGCTAAACCATTTGACTGACTATATTGGAAACGCGGGATTTATCTAGACTAAATTACATAGTGATATCATGCGAGAAAGTTTCTGCAGTTTTTAACATCTGCTCTAGGTTTATCGCTAAAAAGAACCAAATGGAACCTCCTCTTAAAACGCATTTGTTAGTTGGGAATCTTCAGTTTCGATATTGGTTTCGCCAGGTATTTGAAGGTCTTTCACACCGTCATTATATGCTTTGAAAAAGTTACTCTATTATCTTTTATCATCGACTTTATATACTCATATTCTCAATATATCATTAAGCGATTTATGCGGCATTGACTCAAAGTAATTCCTGTAGTTAATAAATGTCGTAAAAGTTACTTTTTTTGGTGTATGCCTGTTTAGAAATAACGGAATAATGGATTCGATTAAAAGTTGTTTTTTGCAGTCAATGGAACCCATAGTGCATCCTTTTTGTTGTGGCTCTATGATATTGTTTAGAGCACAGTGCTGGTAGATACGCTGAGCGATACAAGATGTGACCAATTTGTACAAGATAGGAAGACAAGTAATTGGACGGTTCTTGGCTAGATCTTGGGTGTTATTTTGATCCTTTGGTATTACATACGTGGTTTCCTGAGTAAGAAATGATGGTATTTCTTGCGGATAAGAAATATCATAGTTAATTAGTATTGATAACATTTATAAATACTCTAAAACTTCTTTAGCAAGAAGTATTGAACTTCATCTTGCCTAAGAGATTTCCAGTTTGATAATGCTTGAGACTTCTTCAGTAGTGAAGAATTAGATTATAAGGGTAAATGTGAAATAATAATAATAATATTATCATTATTACCATCAAACTGCATGCCTGTATGGACATAGGTCACCCTCAGCTCTTTCCATCTGCCTCTGTCTTGTGCGGCTTACATGCAGTTATTGCTAACACGTTCCAGGTCGTCAGTCCATCTAGTTGGTGTGCGTCCTCTACTCCATATTGCTTCTTGTCTTGGTCTCCATTTGAAAATATGCTTTATCCATCGGTTGTCTGATAATCTGGCGACGTGTCCTACCCAATTCCATTTTAGCGACGCGATTTTGTCAGTGGCGTCTGTTGTTTTTGTTCTACGACGTATTTCTTAGTTTGTAATTCGGTCTCTCAGAGACACCCAACATTGGCGCTCCATAGCCCTCTGAGTCACGTAAATCTTATTCACTAAGTTAAGTGAATACAGTTAACACACATTGGCCAAAGAATTTCTTTTATTGAAGCACATGGGCAGCAAACACTGCCCAGCCTAATCCCATTTGACGTGGGAGCTCACATGTCTGGTTATCTCTGCCAAACAAAACCAACATATCTCTGCCAAACCAAATTTCATGTCCTAAATACTTATACGATCTAGTCTGCACAATATCCCTTAAATTAACAGCAATATTTCGATTTAGCACCAGATTAGTTATTATTTGCGTCTTGTTCATATTAATATTTAGTCCAATCTCCAAGGAAGCGTAATATAATTTTTCAAACATTATGATTGCATCATTCATAAGATCGGCTATAAGGACGATGTCATCTTCAAATCTCAAATGACTGAGCTTCTCTCCATTTATGTTGATCCCATGTTTGTTCAGATGTGCCTTCTTACAAGTATGTTCTAGAAGCATCGTGTATTGTTATATACAAAGTTTATTGGGTCTTGTTCAGATAGTCTTACGCTAGCTGTGGAATTTTGGTAGACATATTTGATTATGTAAGTGTAGCGATGGTCTAATCGGTATTGTGTTAATGCTTTTAACATTTTTTGATGACTGATGGTATCGAATGTTTTCTCGTAGTCGACAATCATTATCGTTCAGGAGTATTTCGTCACTCGATCTTAGTACGTGGCCTGTCCATTTTATTCGGTTTGCTTTAATTTAGCGTACTGCGTTTTCATTTCCATATACTGTCTTGAGTTCATCGTTGTGTCTTCTTCTCCATTATCCTGCTGTCTCTTCTCTGCAAGGCCTATAGATAGTCCGCAGTATTTTTCTTTCCAGTACCAGTAATTTCGTGGTTTCCAGCTGGTTCAGAGTCCATATCTCACTTCCATACGTTATTATGGGACGAATTATTGTCTTATACACTCTTATTTTTGCTAGTTTTGAGAGTATTTTTGATTTAAGTACGGTCATTAATAAGTAATATGTCCTGTTTCCTGCAATGATACTGGATGCTACGTCCTTTTCATATTTATTTTCAGATGTTATGATCGCTGCCAGGTTCTCGAATTTTTTGAGACGACTTCAAAGTTGTATTCATTGATTGTTACGTTTTATCTAACCCTTGGCCTTGGGTTCTTCGTAACCACCATGTACTTGGTCTTATCCTCGTTGACCTTCAGACCAACTTCCTTGACTCCGTTTTCGAATAGAATGACAACTTCTTTTGCATCTCTGGTGGATTGTGCAGTTGTGTCCACGTCATCTACAAACGCCAATAGTATTTTTGATCCTTGGGCGACAAATCCGTTTGTCAGTTGTGGTTTAGCTTTTCTTTTCGCATGTTCCAGTGCAAAATTAAATGGCAGGGGGTAAAAGGATCTCCTTGTCTAAGTCCGGTGTCAATGAGGAATTCCTCCGACGTGGTGCTGCCAATTCTGATCCGTGCGGAGGCGTTATCTGTGCTCACCTGTGCTAATCGTACCAGCTTTCCAGGTACTCTCATTTCTATCATGATCTCCCACAATGCTTCTCTGCTAATAAAATCGTAAGCTTGTTTAAAGTCCACAAATATTTGGTGTGCACTCGAAAAATATCAGTGCTAATGGTTTGTTGTATTCTGCAGACTTCTATATCAGGTTTTTTATGACTAGAACTTGTTCTCTATACTGATAGAAGTCTAATTTAGCGTCCAGTCCAGTTTAGCCAGCAGTCCAGTCCAAAAGTGCCGTTATGATTTCGTATGGAGTTATTTCTGTCATTCTGGTCCCTGGTTTCTGATTTTGGACATGGGCTGATCTTGCCATTCTTCGGTGCTCTCATACATTTCGCGATAAAAGAATTCGACAACCTCAAGGATTTTGGTTCTATCAGTAGTAGTAATGTTTTCATATTTCTTTTATATTTTGTACCTACTTTTGTTGCCTATGTTATTCGTATTTCGCCTCCAAACTTTTCTTTTCTTGAATTATTTTAGTTACTTCTCTTGTCATGTTTTTTCTTACGTCTTTTCGGATTGACCGGTGGATATCTTTATTTAATTTTTTCATTGTTGTATAGTTGAAGTCGTATTTTTCCGTCAGCTGTCTTCTTTTACCTATTAGCTCTTTAGTATTTTGGCTTAGTTTTTTTTATGGGTCAGAATAGTCCGGCAGCACTCCCTTTCCGTTTCTTTTAGAGCCTTCATTATACCATTCTTTGCTTGATCGACATCTTCTATTTCATTTTGCAATTCTTGCATATGTCTGGTTAGTGTATCTTCATACAGGTCATTTTTTCTGTGGAAATCCAAGTCTTTTTTCTTGTTTTTAGAATCATCTTTGTTCTTTCCAATTTGACATTTAATAGTATCTTAGCTCGGATTAATCTGTGGTCGCATCCTATTGAAAATTTGATGAGTACTTCAATGTTTTTGATTATTTATTTTCTGTTTGTTATGATATAATCTATTTCATTTTTTATATAATAAATGCTTATGCCTTTATTTTTCTATTAGCTTCATAATGCAATTTAATAAATGCGGTGAATTTTTCTTGAAAAAGGTACTTAAATTCTAATTATTGAGGATACAATATTAATAAAAACTGAGGTTATTCATGTAAAATCCATATTGGAATTGGAAACACAAGAAGCGTGTTTTATGAAATAATAAACATTTTTTGTAATCTTCATAGACAAAAAAAAATATGATACATTATTATTTATTAAATGACACTTCTTTATTATTTTGTATTGGAGCATGCTGCAAATCCTTTAAATACAATGACACCTTTTTTAGCATTTTAGTTGTTTTCCTCCTTTTTTTCTTAGACAGATCGATCCCTTTTTAATATTCTATTTTGAAATAAAGGTTATTAAACATTAGTGTAAAAATAAAATAAAAAAGCTGTTTAGACTTTATTTAAAACACCTTATAGAATAATTATACTTAATATGTACAAAAGAAATAAAATTTTTAACACCAATCTACAAAAATAAAACTTTAAAAAGTACAACGGATAGTACTTGGGGAAACATTTTTTTGACACAAGAAATCATACATTAACAATTTCATATCACATCCTTACGATTTAAATAAAATCTCATTTACAATTAGCTCCTGCCTACTTGATCGATTTGTTGTTGAAGGTTGTTTACGACTTCTGGTGGGAATTGGTCACCCAAAATCTCGAATAAGTTGATTTTTTGGTTGCCGGGGATGCTTTCATATGCTCCAATTTCTATACCTTCTTGTACCTTAAATAAACAAAAGAGATTTTTAATAAAGACAGAATAAGACTGTTTAAGTACATATACTTGATGTTAAAATAATAAACAATAATATGAGCCTCTTTTCATATCAGTTGGCTCACCTATCGAATTTGCAGTTTAAGTTAATTGCCATAAACAAATTATACTCTGCATATTTTTATAAGTTTCCATATTAATTAATTTGGCATGTTTATTAATATTTATTAAAAACATTACCCTTATGGTTCTTTATTTATTTTCAACAATAAAAAAATTTTACTAAATTGAGTTGATTTTTTCATAATTACGTTAAATCCGGAGGTAGCTATAAAAAAATCACATCAAAACAATAATATTGTCAGTGAATGTCAAAGGTATTTTGTAGTATTGTAAAGCTTTTTACCGTTTGTGGACTGTATAATGGGTCGAGGTAAAGTTATCGATGAGAAAATTTCTTCAATCATTAATAGATTTTATAATTATGGAAAATCCAATTCGGAAATCGCAAATATGTTACAATTGTCACGCTATAATGTAAGAAATATAGTCATAAGGTACAAAACAACAAACTCGGTTGCCACAAAACCTACAACTGTACGAAAAAGTAAAATAATCGAAGAAGATCGAAGGGCATTAAGACGAATTATAGTGAAAAATCGACGAGCAAATTATATGGAGTTAAGCGTTTTATGGAGTGACGTTATTGAAAGACACGTTTCCAGATCAATATGTCACCGAGAGGCTCACAAATAAAGTAGGTTTTATAGTTAAAAAAATTAGTACGAATTGATTTTAAACAATTTTTATTTTATTTTAGGCTAAGAACAAAAGAAAAATAGACCAAGATGGTAAAAAGAGCATAAAGATTGGACTCTTGCTTATTGGAGTTGCAATGTGATTCAATACAATGGACTGATAAGTCCAGATTTGAAGTGTCTGTTTTTAGACAGTAGGAGTCGCGTCATTCCCAGGAAAAATGAAGCTTTCCATCCCGACTATTTGAAGAGAAAAGTCAAATTTCCTGCATCAGTCATGATCTGGGGCAGAATGTGGTCTAGAAGTGTGGGAAAGTTAAATTTTATCGATGGGATTGTAAACACGGACAAATATTTGAATATTTTAGAAGAGTCTCTTTTACCGAGTATGGAACACCGTTTAATATCGCGAAAGATTTTGTCTTCCATCAAAACTGCACAGGTTGTCATGCCTCAAAAAAGAGAATTATTTAAAATGGATTGAAGACAATGGCATACCACTTCTGGAATGGGTTTTTAACAGTTCCGACTTTTTCCCAATAGAGGCTTTGTGACGCGAAATAAAACAGGCTTTGAGAAAACATCCTGCCGGGTCTGTCAACGAATTGAAGGAAAAATTGAAAAAAAATGGGATGTAGTTAGACAAATATACAGGAACGCAATTATATCTGCAAAAACCTATCCAAGTGACGACATAGAATCAGATCACATCCCAGTAGTGACCAAAATTAGGCTCAAAATAAAAATAATAAAACGAAAAATAACAACAAGTAAATTAAGTAACCCACTCATAAGGCAACGCCTGGCAGATGAAATCAACAATGGATTAATGAATGTTAAAGAACAAATACTGAAAAATACTGAGACGGGTAAAAAATGGTTACTAATAAAGACAGAAATTATAATGCCAACTAGATATAAAAAGAAGCAATGGAGACGGAAGAACTTTTAGATTTAATTGAAGAAAGACGTTTATATAAAAACAAAGATAATCAGATGTACAAAAAAGTGGATAAACAAATAAAATCCAGAATTAAGAAAACGAAAGAATACCTAATGGTTAAAAGAACAATACTCACAACAATAGAACAAGAAAACCGGCAATACTAAAAGATTCAAATGAGACTTTTGTTGAATACTAACGACAAATTAAAGAGATGGACATAATATATCAATGAACTGTTCAAAGACAATAGAAAAGAGCAGATGGAGATAGAAGTAGAAGAGGAAGATATTGAAAGAGAAAATTAAAATGTAAAATCCATATAGAAATCTTAAAATACATAAATGATGAAACCTTAGACATTATAGTAGACTTAGTTAACTCAGTATACAAAACAAAACACATACCGAAACAATGGTTACTCTCCACCTTTTATGCTATCCCTAAAAATACAAACGCTAAATATTGCAGTGAATACAGAACAATATCACTAATGAGTCACATTTTCAAATTATTCTTGAAAATAATAAATGGTCGTATAAATAAAAAACTGGAATAGATAGATGATAGTCAGTTTGGGTTCAGAAATGAACTAGAAACCAGAGAAGCGTTATTTGTTTTTAATGTGTTAGCTCAAAGATACATGGATATGAATGTTGATTAGCATGCTTGTTACGTTGATTTTAAAAAAGCATTTGATAAAGTTGGACAAGAAAAATTAGTCCAAATTATAAGGACAAAAAACATACTTACTTAAACTTACGAAAAATAACAAACCTCTACTGGAATCAAAGAGCACAAATCGCAATAGATAACGAACCCAGGCTAGAAATTGAAATCAAGGGAGGAGTTAGGCAGGGATTTATTATGTCCCCATTATTATTTAATGTATATACTGAAGCCATTTTTGAAGAAGCATTACTATCTCAATGTGAAGGAATAATAATTAACGGAAGATCTATTAACAACATAAGATATGCAGATGACACCGTGATTATGACAAGCTTTGCTGAACAACTCTAATTACTGCTAAACAAAACAAACAGTTTCTGTGAAAAATATGGACTAAAAATGAATAAAAAAAGACCAAATACATGATAATAACAAAGAAAACAAATATACCAACAAACACACATTTGGGAAATACATCGATAGGAAGAGTTAATAAATACAAATACCTAGGAACCTGGATTTCGGACAATAATGATCAAACACTTGAAATAAGAGTCAGGATAGAAATGAGCAAGAAATGCGTAAGAAAGTCACAATATCTGGGACACGTAATAAGGGACAGCGATACGAACTGCTAAGGCTGATAATACAGGGAAAGATAAAAGGAGAAAGGAGTCTAGAAACAAAGAGAGTATTATGGTTGAAGAATTTAAGGGACTGGTTTAAATGTAGTTCTATAAAACTCTTCAGAGCAACAGTAGATAGAGTAAAGATAGTGATGATGATATCCAACCTCCGATTGGGAGACGGCACTTAAAGAAGAAGATAATTAGGAATTTTAAAAATGTTGTTCGGTGCATTAAAACTTCTAAAATTTACGCTGCGCTTTTATTTTTGTTCTCTAAACTTTCATGTTCTTATTAATCTCTCGTTAGGTCAACTGATATCGGAAGGATCTCGTAAAAATCAAATCAATAATAAAGAACCAACAGAACCTTTTCAAAGGTTCAAGTTGAAATAACGGTTCGGTTACTCTTTATACTGTTTGCTGACGTAGCTACTTATATTGTTAATAGCATTGATACACATTTTAATGTTTTTGAGAAGCTATTTTCGATAATATTTTCGATAAAGATAACGATTTTCGATAAAGCCTTAAGTGATATTGAAGATGGAATCAAAATCAACGGACAGACTATAAGTAATCTTCGCTATGCTGATGATACAGTCATAATAGCTGATAGCTAAGCAGCGCTACAACGACTAATAGATAAAATAAACACTGAAGGAGAACGATTGCGCTTGAAGATTAATATAGACAAGACGAAGGTAATGGTGGTTAGAAGAACACGAAATATGAAATTCAATATAAGAGTAAACAACAAGAACATCCAGAAGGTCCCAAGTTCAGATATCTCGGTAGTTGGATAACTGAAGATCTAGATCCAGACATAGAAATACGTAGCAGGATTGAGCAAGCCAGAACATCATTTACTATAATGAGAACCTTGCTAAGCAACAGTAGCCTTAACTTAACGCTTCGATATCGCTTTGTAAAATGTTACATTTACTCCATACTGCTTTATGATGTAAAAACCTGGACCATAAAGGCAAATGTGATGAATCGATTGGAGGACTTTGAAATGTGGGTTTTTAGAAGACTACTTAAAATTCCCTGGACAGATCACACAACAAATGTCGAAGTATTAAATCGAATGGGCAGGTAACGAGAATTGCTGCCAATAATAAAAAGAAAAAAAACTGGTTATCTGGGTCATATATTTCGACATTACAAGTATCAGTTCTTAAAGATTATTATGGAAGGTAAGATTGAAGGAAAGCGTGGCATCGGAAGAAAGAAATACTCATGGCTTAAAAATATAAGGAATTGGACAAACCTCGATGCCGTGCACTTTTTAGAGCTACATAAATCGAGAGTAATATGCCAGAATTGTCGCCAACATCCACTAATTGGATAGGGCACATAAGAAGAGAAGCTATTACAGTTATGAAAAGAATTACTATAAAAGAATATGTATTTCGCCACTTTGGCATGGGTGACAATTCAATTGCCGCAGATCAAATTGCTAAGACAACCGGTGGAGTAAAAAACAAGAATAACTAACAAAAATCAGAAAAAGTTATTGAGGGCTAAAGAGCACGAAGAAAAAAATTATCAGGTAAAGTTAGTTAAAGATTATAGGTTAAGTTTCGAAACATTTTTATTAAATGGTAAATAATATTTCATTAATGGCCAATTATTACCGAAAAAGACCCAAAGAAAAAACTATAATATCATATTTTTGTTAGTGACTATTAAAGAACCATATTTTTCCGTAGTTTATTTTCTTAAAAGCTCTTCATAGAAATCTAAGAATAAAGAAGAGAAACTACTTCATATTTTTTGTTAGAAATATAGATTATTTTAAATACCAACACGGAATCGGTTTTAAAAAGGTGCATCCATAAACGTGCAAAAAGGTCATGCTCTTTCTCCACTAAGAGTTCCATAAACTATAGTGAAAGTAATGAAAAGTGAATCTTAATCACGTTTTTTGCAACGTAAAAATCGAGACAACCTTTTCTTTGTCTCAGTAATATATTTACAATTATTATTCTCTTTAAATGTTTTCGAA